ATTTTTTTCTGATTTGCAAATAAAATAAAAATTCAGAATCAACTGCAAAATGCTCATATTTTGCCCTGAACAGTTGAAAACAGACCTTTTCATCCTAGTTGTTACAGTTATTCCATCTTTCAATGCAATGGTATCATTAAAAGTTCAAAATTCATTGTTTAAATTTTGAACCAGCCTGGTGTGTTGATTTCATGGCTCCTATCGTACCATTTTGGGCCATAATAGGATGCCCAGGCCTGTTTTTATTTTTATTTCTTTTTGCCCGCCCGCTCCATTATTTTTCTAGAAAAATCCGTTAACCAAGAAATTAAATTGGTGTGGCTTTAACTGTCAGGCGGATCATCAGCGACGTGTAAATATTTCTGCGCCAGGTTGTCAGGCCGTAATTTGATTGTCGCACTCGTCAGCTGTTGGCTGTCTGCGGTAAGGCGATTAGCTGCGGGAAGCCTCTATCTCGATCTGACGCAGCGCGTGTAAAAATTAGGCCAGAACAATTTAATTTGTTGGTTCTTGGATTTTTTCAGAAATAATATGAAGCGACAGGACGAAAAAAAATAAAGTGAAAACTGGTCTAGGCATCCTATTACAGCCCCAGATGCTACGATAGGAGCCATGAAGTCAACACACCAGGCTGGGTCAAAATTTAAACAATGAATTTTGAACTTTTAATCAAACCACTGCATTGATAGATGGAAAACTATAACAACTAGGAAGAAATGGACTTTCCTTAACTGTTGGGGGTAAAATATACAATACATTTTTGAGTTGATTCAGAACCAGAATCTTTTTTTTTTTTCAAATCAGAAAAAAAACGAAGAGGCGAATTCGAGAACCAACAAATCAAACTGGTGTGGCCTTAGCCGCGGGATGCTTCTATCTTCCATCCGACGCAGTGTGTGTAAAAATTATCGTACCACGGAAATAATCATGGTGTAATCTACCATGTACGAGCCAGACCTGCTGTCATTTCGTACAATTATTGAAGCTAAATGTACTCACAAGATGTAAACGCGTGTAAAAACACTTCATCATTGTCACCTTGACTACAGATTGCCTTCTGACGTTTTTATGACGTTTTTATTGAGTGATAACAAATCGTGTTTCCACATCTACCTGTCAATCTGTCGTTTTGTACGGAAAAATTGTTTTAAACATGATGATCAAAAGCTGGTAACAAAAAAACAAAAAGGACTCCTCCTGTAGCTTGTTTGGGGGCTTTTTCAAACGCTTCAAGTCTGAAATAATGATCAAAATGTGCTAAGAAATGGTAGCAAAATGTAAATATCAGACAGCTTTCCTCATCCAGAATATATATTTTCTTTAAATTACTTTGGATGTAAATGTGTGTAAAAACACTTTTTATCATTGTCACCTTGGCTACAGATTGCCTTTCGCTTGAAAATGACGTTTTTTTATGACGTTTTTATAGTGATAACAAATTGTCTTTCCACATCTTCCTGTCAATCTGTCGGTATGTACGGAAAAATTGTTTTGAACAGTTCAGGGCTCGAAATTCATTTTTGGGGAATAGGTGCACTGGTAGATTGTCATGCAATTTGCATATGTGATAATACTAATACTACAACTTATGAATAGATGTACGGAATTTATCTATCATACTTCATGTAATTGATAGATTGATAGAGTATCATACTTGATTCCAGAAGAAAATACACCCAGTCAGAAAAAAATTGGGTGCACTTAAAATTTTTTGGGCGCACCATATATATGAAATCATCTTATACAACAAAGACTTTCATTATTTTTCTGACATTTAGATGTTAAGAATATACTGTTTACTAGTATACATTAGATTTCTTTACATTATGTAAACCTTATTAATGAAATACTTGGGTGCACTGGTGCACCCATGGAAAAAAAATTGGGTGCAGAGCTCCAATTCTGGGTGCACCAAGGTGCACATGCACCCAGTATTTTGAGCCCTGAACATCGTCTACCAGATACCTTTGACCCAGTATTGACTTCATGACAAGCCACGTGACAAGCCTCACTGGGTCAGTCTACTGAGGAAGACCAGAGTGACTGGTCGAAGGCTCTTTGTGTTGGAACAAACGAAAACTTTTTGTGTTGGAACAACAGAGTAGCGTGCGTAGTCCAGTGGTTAGCGATCCTGCCTCTGGACTAAGAGGTTGGGAGTTCGAATCCTGGCTAATGTCGCTCGCCCGACATGCACGCTACTGTTTAGGGTCGCAGTCCTTCGGACGGGACGTTAACTTTGGTCCACTGTTCATTGTGCTTGTCGAAAAGAGCTAGCGGAATTTCCCCGGTACAATGAACCTGTAAATACTGTACATAGCGTCTGTCTTCTCTGTCACGACCAGTGGAAGATTAGCTCTTCAATGAGCTAAACTGGATCGAGATCACTTTCACTTTTTCTTTTCAAAAGTTTTAACTCTAAACCTGAACTCTGGATGTTACTGTGTTTACAGATTGAAGGGGCATCTTTCACCATGCAGTTCATAGGCAGCGGGTACAGCAATGCAGTGCTGGAAGACGGGGATTACGACGGCCCTCCCAACATGACCATCGCCACTCAGGTGGAGGGGCCAGGTCAGAAACTTTCTCTCTTTCCATAAGGTTTGATATCGTTTGATCCTCAGAGTCCAGCTCCTAGGTCCTTGTAAGAAAACAGTTTCTGGTATGAAATGATAAATGATAAAAGGTATTTTCTTTGCTATTCCTAAAAAATCTCCCAACAGATATTCAGTAGATGATCCCTCCACAGTGCCTATCTGGGTGCAGCAGTGATAATTATGCACATACAAATTGTGTGGTGAAGATAACGCCATCTTTGACTGTACACAATTTCGGGGGGG